CACGGCTGCCCACCCGGCTGCGCAGCCCCTTCTCGGGGACGGGGAGCGGGGATACAACCCATGGTCATCACAGCACAGTCCCAGGGCAGTCAGTGTCCTTCAAAGCAGCAGACAGAGGGTGCTGGTGACAGGAGTGTCACCAGTCCCGCTCGGAGGGCTCCCGGTAAGGCAGCCCCAGCTGGATAAAAACATCCCTTTCGGTGGGGGTAGGCAGGATATGGCCAGGGCCCACCTTAACGCCGCCCGGGCCCCCCGGCACGGCCGGGCACAGGGAGGGCTCCGACAGGCTCCAGCTTGGCCAGGGCCCGCATGGAACGGTTGAAGTGAGCCGAGCCAGTGAAGTAGAGCAGGGCACAGGCGAACTCGCCGTAAGGCACCACGATGATGTCGAGGCGCCGGTGACGCTGGGCTGGCCCAGGGAGGCGACACACGCCCAAGTACTTCTTCTGATCACCGTTGTCCTCCTGGGTCACCAAGTCATCCGTGAGGAAGCCTGGGGAGACGGAGCAGACACAGGGAAGGGGCTGAGAGACAAAAGACTGACCTGCCAAAGCTTCCCATCTTCCAGAAAGCAACTGAGGTGTCCCAAAATGGGGCTGCAGGGTCCTCAAAAGCAGCCTCGGCTCTGGCAACTCCATACAGGAGGAGCTGTGTGGAGCTGCAGCAACGCTCCCTCCTTAATGCCGGCTGGAGCTGCCACTGGAACGTGGCCAAGGCTGCTGCACTCTAAGGATTTATGACATATCCTACAACCCATCGCCTGTCCCTCTAGGCATGCCACTCGTTTGGAGCTCAGACCTCACTGCTCCTGAGCTCCTGCTTTGGTACCACATGCCAGTCCCCAGGCCCTCTTACCGCTCCTGTGGAGGCTGTCGAGCAGTTTGTTGAAGACGCCGCGGTGAGACTGCCCGTCGGGGTGCGTCACCAGCACGTCCACGTCTCCACACGTGGGCTTGCCCCGACGGTACGAGCCACAGGCCACGCACACCAGCCCGGGGTTCAGCGCCAGGGCTGCTTGTCTGACCTTCAAGAATAGAAAGGGAAGGATGAGGAGTCTTGAGGACAGGTCTCTGTATCGCTCTCTTGAATAGTATCTTGCACTTTTGTACTCCCTTCTACCCTACCTTGCAGCTCTAGGGTCTCTAGGGGATGGAGCAGCTATGTAAACAGCATAGCAAACTGTGGAGAAAGAGGCCACCCTGCTACCAGGAACCACAGGTGCTTGGGTAGCTCCTGTGAGGTTCTACCCAGCCCAGATCCACACAACAGACCTCTCCTTTGACCACTGGTCATCCGGATCAATGAAGCAACCGACGAGAGACGAAGCAACACTGAGTTGGCAAGGTAGGGCCAGAGCCCTCAGCCTCAAGGAGAGGAGGACAGAGGGTTTTCAGTGCTCCTTGTGGGCCAGGACAGCAGAGCTCCTTCTGGCCACAAGGAGCACAAGCTGAACACAAGATAGTCACAGATCCCTGAAGCACAGAGCAGTTCAGAGCAAATCTTCTCAGCAGGCCCCAAGAATCTGCAATGTCACCTGGATTCCCGTCCTGCTGGGTCTCTGCCTTTAAAGCAGAGCTAGGCTTCCTGAGGAAAACCACTAACCACCCAGCATTTTATACTGAACTGATGCCAACCAGCTATATATAATCAGGTCCTTCCTTAATGCAGCCACTTTTAGGCTGGACTGAAGCCCCTGTTCTGCACAAACTGCTAGTTCTGATGGCTTCATTCATTAAATCCTGGAGAAGGTCCTTGGGCAGCAGCAGAGTATTCCCCACATGACTGTGCCAATCACTCTGCTGGCAACAAATGATTAGGGGCCCACTGATGAGCCCATCACAGGGGCTGGGGTTCAGAAAGCCTGTGTCCATGCCCACAGCCCCTTGTCAGTCTTTGGGATCATCCTTCATTAGCAAGAGATAAACCCATTAACCTTTGGCCCAGAGGTGCTCCAAGAAGGCCACAGGCCTTTCTCATGCGGAGCAGCTCCTCCTCTGGTGCTCTTGCCCCCTTCTGACTTTAAATGAAGATTTCTAGAAAGCTCCCAGCCTCAGCCCAGAGCCCCAAAGCTCCTCAGATCTCCTTGTGACAGGCAGCACAGACAGTGACTAATCCCTTCTTCGCTCTCCTGGGCCTGGATCGGAGGTGCGTGCGTGTGTATGGAGGAGAGCCCAGTAATCCCTTCAAATTAACAATAGACCCATCCCCAAGAGCCACCTTCTCAACCCAGGCTGCCTGGGAAAAGGGCTGCTCGCCGCTGAAAGGGCTAATCCGGCACACAGGAGTGACACCCCAGCAGGAGCCTGGCAGGAGGGTATTCTTCGTGGCCAGGGCCTGTGGCCGAGTGACAGTGTCATGCTGGCTGCTGCTTCTATGGTGATGAGCGAGCATGGGGGCAGCAATGACAGTCTCCCCTAGCTCGCAGCTCACATTAGGGCATGTGGTCTTAGCACCCCACAACCCTGGAGTATCGTGGCCCACCAGAGCAAGCAGCACCCACATGTAGCCTAAATCTCCTTTGCTTGTCATTGGGTACCACTGCTCCAATATTAAGCTTGGCGGCCAGAGCACAGGTACTCGTGAGGTGCTCACAGCTTTCCTTGGAAAAGCACCACAGAGACAGCTCAGGGGCCTTGGCTGCAAGCAGGTACTGTAGAGGAGATGAGGGATAGGGTAGGGAGCTGGGAAGCTGCTCATCCCACCATGCCAAAGCAGCCTTCCCAAAGCAGGGCAGGGGGTGCAGCTGACACCCAGGAAGTATCATCCTCCTTGAACCTTCCTACTAAGCCAGTGCTTTGTGTGCCCATGTCCAGAGAGGGTGCGCCGAGCCCTGGTACCACTGAGAAGAGGTGCTGGAGAGCTCAGCTCCAACAGCAAAGCACCTTCCACCACGTGCAGCCTCCCACCAGAGCCCAGCCATCGCTGTGCTCCGCGGGGCTGCGCTCGAGCTACTCACGGTCCGCTCTATTTCCGCGGCTTCCTCTCGAGACATGCGCTCCAGGAAATCCTCGTAGTGCTTCAGCCCCACGGCCTGCTGGCTGCTGAGGGATGCCTTGGTGCGGATATCATCCAGCGTCCGGAAACCCTGGTGCAGACCGTGTCGTTATATTCAGACATCTGCTGAGACTCTACTCTTCAAACGCTTTAAACCGAGATTTGAGGGGATTACATTCCACCTTGCTCGAGTCCAGGCTAGTCACAGCTTCAGAGATCCCATCACTTATGATCTAGTTCCTAAGGAGAGGGGATTTAAGCAATCCCACTACCCACAGGCGCTTCTAATCTTCACCTCACAAAGGCTTTGAATCTCAGCTAGCCCTGACAGAAGGGTACTGTTCTTAAGGCATGGTGTTCCTACAGCTTGATGAAAAACAGGCAATGCAGGTAAGGCAAAGCAGACAGTGTGAACACAGCTATATTTTAGACAAAAAATTTCAAGCATGACACCAAGCACTACAGAAAGCCAGGTTTCATTAACTCGACTTGGAAAAACTGTTTTTAGAAAAGGAGCCCACCCAGCCACTCATAGGACCAGCAGCTACAGCAGCCAACTGGGCCAGCACACCAGCAGCAACTGGCTCATGAGCTTTCAAAGCCAGGATGCCCTCGTCCCAGGCTGGCTCTTAGCAGTGTCACTGCTACACTATTTTAGCAGTGCAAGATGAGCTCCAAGCAGTGCTGCTACCACCTCAACTGCACATTTTCATTCTCTATCCCCCTACTCATCCAAATTCAGCCCCAGTTACATGGGCTCCATTTTCCCCTGAATACCCCACACTATAATCAAGTCTTATGCTTTCACCTGCAAAACCAGACACAGAGTCCACTCCTGAACACTGGCGACCAGAAACTATTTGCAACGACAATTCTCCTGCTGTCAGGAGGGGTCTGATAAGCTGTAGTCTGGAAACCTCTTGTGTAGGCACTAAACTTACCTGCTGGTACCACATCTGGGCTGTCTTGGCCCCTGCTCCCCAAATGTTGGAGAACAACTCCAGCACAGGCACGTTCTCGCTGATGTGATCCAGCTTCCGCAGATGTCCACTCTCCAAGATCTCCAAAATCTTCTCTGCCATCCGCTTCCCAATCCCAGGAATTTTACAGGCCTCCTACACAAGAAACCAGAGGAGTTAATTGCGAAGTGAAGGCCACAGACAGGCTGGGCAGTTGTTACCCACTCAGGGACGGGCTACCCCCCAAACGGTAACTGGTAAGTGGCAGGATTAGCTGTGTGTGCTACTGTCCCCTCTGCACCAGCCTTACATACCCAGTGCCAAGTGCAGAAAGACAAGTAGGCAGAAGGGGACTGAAACACCGACACACCTAATGGTGGGACCACTGCAGCCAGATCTATCTTGTGTTAGGTACTGTCTATGATACATGCTTGAGGGGAAGGTGAAAATGTCTTCACCAGCTCCAATGTGCAGGGACATTTACTTCATGGGTACTCAGATCTGGCCTTAAAAATCTCGATGATCTGTTTTATAGTGATCTGAAAACACTGCACATGTGAATCCTGTGTAGCCACTTAGGTACTGTCTCTGATGCGTGCTTGAGGGGAAGGGGAAAATATCTTCACCAGCCCCAATGTGCAGGGACATTTACTTCACGGGTACTCAGACCTGGCCTTAAAAATCTTGGTGATCTGAAAGCACTGCACATGTGAATCCTGTGTAGCCAGTGTGAATCCTACTGCTGTGCAGACAGTGAGAATCCAACTCACACTGGCTACACAGCTTCCATCAAAATCCTCCCAGCAGGGAATTCCCAGGGCCTGAAAATAAGCCATCCCAAAAGAAAGGAGTCTGGTTCAAAACGGAGCTAGGATGCTAGGTCCACCTCCCTGCTCCACCATCCTGGGAAGGTATTTTACCTGGTAGGAGGTGACTGGTTTGTGGTAGCTCTTGAGCGCATTGATGGCTTTGGAGTAGCCTAGAGATCTCCACTTGTCGCCCTGGACAGAATAGGCCTTTGCCAGCACTTCCAGCTTCTCTGTGATGCACTGATTATGATTCTCCTTCTTGTTCTTGGAAGAATGAGCACAAACCCACTTGCTGACAGGCTGGGCCACTGTGGAAGAGCTGTCACTGGTCTCCTCTGATGATTTTAGAGGGTAACAGCCAGAAATCAGTGCTTCTAGATCTCCCTGGGTGACACCAACATCTTCTCCTTCGCTGTCTTCATCACCAGAGACTTTCTTTAGGGAAAAGTAGAAAAGTAGCCATATGAGAATAACTGCATGCCTCACATACATCCCCTTGGCACAGGGTACTCCTGGGCACCAATCAACCCCCAGGGCTTGGCATTCTTCGAAGCTATATGTACATCTGACACACAAAACGCAGGAGACAGAGACTGTGGCCCAAGCCTCTGAGACCTAACTGAGGTAAGACACTGGTTAAACGAGCAGCAGTTGCCAGCAGCCTGGTGTGACAAAGTCAAAATCTCTGGCTGGGGATTCCTGACTCCCTTATTCCCACCAGGAAACCTTCTGTTACGTGCACATCCCTCTCTCACGTTCAGACTCTACATATTCCACCCAATGACACAAATCACAGTTTTCATGTTACTCTGTTTTCATGTTACTGACTGAAAATTTTAACAGTAAATAACCATAGCCCATTTTTTCCCCATGGCTATCTGCAATAGAAAATTGGGAGGAAGGAGTGAGACAAAGGACTCCCTCCATATTCCTCAGTGACAAAAGGAAGAACCAATGTACACATGTACCGATACCCTCACAGCATTAGGATGCCTCTGTGCAGAGTTACAAAGCAGTCAGCATTGGCTTCAGGTAACAAACAAAAGAGGATAGAAATGGGAAGCTGAACAGAGGCTTTGCAGACTACTTTGCTCACTGGAGTCCCCCTCTCTCCTTATGTATAAGCACCAGAGCTCAAGAAGAGCCAAGAGCTCCTGTAGTATGAAAGCAACTTCAAGTCACCCCTGCAGTTACATGTGGCACTAATTCCTGTTACGAGTTTCTGAAACGTGTCAGCTTGACTAAGGCTTTATGGAGAAGAGAGAGGATGTTTGTTTGCTTTACTTTTTGTAATCTTGCTTTATAAACTCTGCAAGCTGAGTTGGAATGAGGATTTGATAAACTAGCTTTATTCACCTTGAAACTTTGTACATGACTCCCTTAGGCCACTCTGGCCCACAAAGTAGGTAGCGCCTTAAGAGCAGCTACGGGGCATATGATCCAGCACTACACACGTCTCCAAAGTTGGAACGTACAAACTCCCCAAATCTTAGCCAAAGCATTTCCTTACAGAAATGTGACTAGCTCTGTATCATGTGTGAAGCTTCTAAGATGCTTCAGGATCCTACAGCAGCTGACTGTCATTTTAGCTTAATGTTAAAAGTAGCTGGTATGTCTTTAAAGTACATCCAGCAGTTTTCCTCTCTTCTCCCCAAACTTACTTAGTCCTAAGCTTGGACCAAGAGGTTCTGCTCCAGTATCCACAGATGGTTCCAAGCATAGACTAATCACAGAAAATATCAATGTTTGAAGCAAAAGAGCAATAGGGTTTCACACAAACTCTAGCTGCTTTCTAACCACTAAAGTAAATGTGAGCAGAAATCAAGGCAGCTGGCATGAGACCCACAGGAGTTTAAAAACCCTTCATTTAAGGGGAAGATTTGCTACAGATTGCCACTAAATTAACCAGAGTTACCAGAGATAAAGATGGGGTAACAGCAAAGGTGATGAAGAGATTAGAAAGCAACAGCCTATTCTATGACATGCTGGATAGTAAGTCTGAGAAGGGATCCCCTCCACACAAATTCAAGAGAAGAAAGCCCAAAATAAAGGAGCTTTCAGTGGACTGTCAGCAAGGGTTTATGAAACAGGGTTTTATTTATCAGCAACTGTGATTTTGGAAGGTGCTGGCAAACCCAGCATTAGAGCACTATGATAGGGCTGCAGTTCTCAGCGATCTCAGGTAACTCTGCTACAGATAGATCTGGATGAAACAATGTCAAAAATCAGCAAAATCAAGTGAAATGCAGAAAGAGAACACAAAGCTAACATCAGGTCTGGAGAGGGTGACTCACAGCAGAGGCCACTAATACCCCAGCATGGATATTTAAAGCACAACACACAGTCATCTGAGTGGCAACCTGATCCACTACATGTATCTGGAGGGAGTGCTTGTCAGGGACCTCCTGCTTGACCAGGAGAACAGGTCAGCAAGGCTCAAGCAGGAACGCAGGATGAAATATCAGGGACAGTTTCCTGAAAGGGAGATATTCTCAGATATGGAATATTTCCCAAAAAGAGGCAGAGAAAACATGATCACCAGAATGAGCCTTGGACTGAGCAAAGCACCAGGACTGCTTCTGCTAGAAATGTTTTGATGGAGTCAGGAACACCTAAAAGGGACAAAGGGAAGCAGTAACCACGTTCACAGCCCAAACCTGCCAGTACTGATCCCCTGAGGTATCCACATGCTTTTGCTGAGGTATTCTGGCTGCAGCACTGCAGGGTGCTCTTAGCCAAGGAAAGCAGCATGCAGGACCATTCATAAGAATGGCCTGTACTGAAGCCTTACCTCAGCTGGCTCCTGCTGCCCAAGGATGTCCAGGGTTTGAGGCAAGGAATCTGCCACGGGTGCTTCAGCCTTTGGTTTCACAGCTTCCTGCCCGGCCTGGGGCTGAACCTCTTTGCCAGCCAGGAGCTTCTGCTGCCGCTGTTTCTGCAGCTCTCCCTCCTCCAGGTACCTGCCATAGATCAGATGTCTTAGCATAGGAGCAAGAGATTCCTCAGCCCCCACATGTCTGCCTAGGAAATCCATCTGCATTATTTGGAATAGAACAAACAACCAATATGAATTTCCCTTTCTCAGACCACAGAACTCATTACAGTGGTCTTGGTTCAAACACCCAGTTTCCATTCACTTTGCTAACCTGCAGCTTCCACTTCTCAGATTCTTCCTCCAAAGCTCTGCCAATACATTTTGATCCTAACCTGCAGCTGCCTGCTGCACCATTCCTTGTTTCCTCGGGTGCCTAATAGTTCTCTCTACTTTTTATCTGCAATAATCAAGAAACAGCATTTAATTCTCAGTATTTCTAAAATAGCCTTCCTTCCTACCCTGATAGATTGGGAAGAAGTGCCTTTAGCATCTGTAGCAAGCAGCAATACTCCTGATAGCACTTCTGGACTCTACCCCAAGTTCTGCTACCCAACAGACCAGCAACCAGTCACAAAAATCATGAACTGTATGGGGAGAAAAGCCTCTAAGCCATGCCCAAAGGATATGTAACAAGCTGCAGCCTAGGGATCTTGAGCAGGGGTGAAACACCAGCGCAGCTCAGCTCGGAACAGGGGTTCCATAGGGAAGAACGATGGCCTGGGATTTGCATACCTGAGGGGGATACGGAGGCTGTAGCCCTTGGTACTCAGCAGCTTCTGGTCTCTAATACACGCACTTAGCCAGGATGCCTTCACTAGCTGCAACCCAGGAGGCAGCTTGGGTTGTTTAAGGAGCCGGAAGGCCCGATCACAGTCCATGTCTTCGGCCACCACGACGTGCGTCACCTCCGAGCAGAGCTGGCTGCAGACCCGGCCCCCGTTCTGCACGATCTGCTGGCGGAAAATCTCAGCCCTTGCTTGGCCGATGCCAGCTTGCAGCACGTAGGCAGTGACGGGTTTCAGCCACTCTGCTGGAGAAAGAAACGGGGGCAGGAGGTCAGTGCGGGACAAACAGTGCCCCAGGCCAGCTGGGCTACATGTTTCATGCAGGACTTCTTGGGAGCGACAGGAGCAGGAAATCTGGGGGGACACCAGCAGCCACGGGCCCAAGGCCAGACACAGAAAATCCTCCGTCTGTGGCCTCTGCAGGGAAAGCGCCTGGGCCAGAAAAAGCCCCTGGGAGAAGGGCATTAATGTCCGGGCTCCATGGAGCGGCGCAGACCCCGCGGCCCAGGCAGACTTACCCTCAGGCAGCCCCGCGGCCTCCTCCTTCGCCAGCTTGGCCGGGACGCTCTTGCCTGGCTCATCCCTCCCCTTCTTCCTCTTGGGGAAGGCCTTGACAATCCCACGCGGCTCCATGGAGCCCGGGGGAGGCTCACAGTGCCGGCACCCAACGCCGGCTACAAACAGAGAGATACATAAATAAATATTAAGAGCGAGGGCGCTCCAAGCAGTGCCGGGCCAGCCGTGGGGGCAGCGTCACCCTCCCGAGGGAAGCACCTAGGAGGGGGGCACAGGCCGGCGGCCCCGAGGCAC